GAGTAATTTAAAAGGAGAAATTAGCTTCTGAATGGACTGCTGTTGATTTAGTTGAGTTGAATGAAAGAAAAATATGTGAAGTCAAAATAACATGATTTCAGTATGATGATGATCACTGTTTGCTGAAATGTGGGGGTTTAGAGAGCACTTCCAGGTCAACCAGGGAGAGCTGATTGGCACAGCTGAGATTAGTTGGCCAAATCACTGTCCGAGGATTCAAAAGGCGGCAGCAGAGCTGCACAGAGATAAGAGGCATGAGAAGAGACACATGATAGAGACTCATGAAAGAGACTCATGAAAGAGAAGAGACAGAGCTGAGCTGCCCCAGAGGGAAGAGACGAATGAGAGAAGCTCATGAAGGAGAAGAGAAAGCGCTGAGCTGACAAGCGAAGACTGTTGGACACCTTAAGTTGAGTTTATGCCAGTATAATAAATAAAAAGAATGCTGAAAACTATATGTTTTGTCTATGGTTTTTGTTGGGAGACTCTTGTGGCATTGCCTCGTGCCACAGAGGTGAGTGGTACCCATCACCTGACGCTTCAACCGTCTCTGTTCCAACATGTTTGCTTTGTGAAAATAAAAGCATGTGACCCATACTGAAGTATAATATAAAACTAAATAGTAATGAAAACCAGTGACTGACTTGGTTTGGTTCCTCAACTGGAACCAAGTAACGACCTGACGAGCACGTCAGTGGTCAGGCTCAGGTCATAATAGTCACATTGAACCTGTGAGAATATGATTGGACGTTAAAATGTGAAGCATAAATGAAGCAACTGATGCCAAACAGCTAATGCTAATGATTTCTGTGTATTGCCTGAATGAATGCTGCAGTTCAGACTCGGACAACTTGAGCAACTTCAATTTCGTGCCACTCATAGTCAGTGCTCCTGCAGGTGAAGTTGGGGCAGATCCATCTACCCTGATAGAGAGGCAGTTGGCAGACGCCACACCATCAATGCAAATGTAAATGATAACCCATTATCTATAAGTCTAAGTAAATTGTATAAAGTCAGTAGAGCAAAATTAAAAATATTCAAATGTATGTCAAATATGTGACAACTGTTATTAGGTGGTTATCACTGTGAGACATTTTTTTTTGTTTCTTTTAGGCACCTGGAAAACTTGGAGGTCAATTTGGAAAATCTTAAAAAAATATATTTTTTAAGCACAACCACAGTCTTTGTTCAGCCTTATGCCAAAGTGGTAAAGGCAGAGTTTCACGGTTTTAATATCGTTAAAAGTATAAGTATTCCAACACATTTGCCACAAACATTATGAGTCATGTAGTAAAGGCAGTGAGGCTGTTATTGCTTTGCTCCGGTTTAATGACTGCACAAAATGCCACAAGATGGCGACAGCAGACAGTGATGACATGGGCCACCACACAGTTTCCATGTTTTGTTTTCCTCCCGCTGTAAAGCATCGGCTCAGCAGACAGGGAGCAGGTTTAGAAGAGGAAAGTCTGAGTATGGAGATGACTGAATCAGCCAGAGCTGCCTACATTTCTACACACAATCTTTTACTTCATCATCTAAAACTTCAATCACACGTGCACGTTTGCTTTCAAAGGTCCAAAGTAGCATAAAGCTCAACCTTGATATGACTTTTTGCTGAAATTCATTTTATTTTGACAAAGAGAATGAAAACTTACCGATGCGATAATAAGCAGGAGAAGAGAGAATGTGGCTGAAGTTTCTACACACATGTTGCTCAGCAGGCTGCAGTCCACTCAGTAGTACTGGTTCCTGTGGGCAGGAGGCTCACTCTTGTTTTTCTCTCTTCAGCAGACTGATGAAGGCTGGGAGGAGAAATGGCCTTAAATACCAGCCCAGTGGGTGTAGCCAGAGAAACGAGAGCCATGCCGTTCTGCTCAGAGGTGAAAATATTCCAAATCAAATGGTTACAGAGGCCTCCAATGACACATCATTAGTTTGAAGGGCTGTGAGTGGACAACATGGCAACAGACAGGGGGTGTTAGCTTTAGGGTAATAAGGTGACTGACTGCAGCTAAGATTGGCCATTTTGAATCAGTTTGCATTCCAATTTACAGTGCGTGTCCGTTGTGTGGTGGCTCTGACACTTACTGTAACATATGATTCAAAGTCATAAGCCGCACCTCAACAGAAGACAGTTTGTGGAATGTTGGTCACAGAATCTGAGATTTCATGCAGCAGAGGTAATGACTGTGGAAAAAGAGGGTGGTGTGAGCCAAACATTGACAGACTACAGAGGTGTGCATACACACACACACACACACCAGGGTTGTCCTTGAATACCAGAAAAGACACTGTGACACGCTCAGTAAAAATTGCTTAACAAAGCTGCCATTCAAGAACCATTTGTTTATAGGATCAGCAAATTAAGATGCAGAGGCTGGCATCATATGAGAAAACCCCTCTGAAGAGAACTAGGATGTGGCCTGTGTTGAACTCAAGACGGTGGCAGTGGGAATTGAACCATTTGTCCTGCAGCTGAATGTGCTGGACAAAAGACAGCAGCTTGAGTAAAAGACATTGAAACACACCAGTTCTAGCCCCGACAGAGCAATACTTTTTTGTCCAAGCACAGAAATGAAATTACCTTTAATCTTGAATTTTTATTTGGTTTCAGACCACTGCAAAGCTTATGCCTAAAACCTGTCGATGTAGCTGGCCCCACAATTTGACTTCATTTTCAGTATGATTCGGTATGCAAGTATGGGGCCTCGGTTGGTTTTCTTACTAAATCTCAAACATCCTCCAAATGTAACAAGTCTGTGTGATGAGACGCCTGTCAAGTTCACACAAGCCAGTTTCTAAATGTCTTATGGAAGTATTATGTGCACAGAGAAAAACATATCACTTGGTTAAAATATATTGTGGCTGTGGTTTCCATTTAT